GGACAGGTCAATAGTTATTTTGGGGGCTCCCCGAATGTCCAGAACTGCCTTATATGTTTTGAATGAAAAGGACTAAGCAACAGAGAAGGATTCTACACTGGTGAGTAATCTACTCTCTCCGGGTGAAATAAATACTCCTTCATATGAAGCCATTTGAAGAAAGAACTGAAGGGAAGGGTGGACTATAATGCCAGTAAGTTCTAGGAGGAAGCAATGGTCAAGTTGGCCCCAAATAGAGAAAGCCGGAAGGAGGAAAAGAACCTTGATCTGGCTCTCAGTGTATGGATAGGATCTAGAATTAGGATGGGAAGGAGGGATGAGACTTGTTTGAAGGAACCCAGATCCAGCGCCCTTATGTTATGGCAAGATCCAATAAATCAGTCGCTAGCGGTAGAGACTGGGAGAAAAAGGAGTGTTTAATTTCTACAACCAGGTTATAGCGAGACTGGTAGGCATCATTGCCAAAAAAACCCACTTAAAGCAACACAAATTCATTCCAGTATTTATATCCAAAATTCATAGCCCTTTACCCATCCCAAGTTTGAAGCCTACGTGGCATTTTAGCATGACTCAAGATTTACATTAACAATTTTTGATACATGACCTCTGACATGACATAAAGTCTCCTGGTCGTGTTGACATTTTAGATAACATTTTGGAATTTACAACATGTTCCTTTTTTTTTTTTTTTTTTGTAGTCGAAGTCTCACTCTGTCGCCCAGGCTGGAGTGCACTGCACGCTCATGGTCACCACAGCGTCGACCTGCTGGGCGCCGGCGATCCTTCCGCCTCAGCCTTCCCAGTAGCCAGAACTACTGGTATGCACTACCATGCTCAGCTAATTTTATTTGTTGTAGAGACAAGGTCTCGCCAATTTGCCCAGGCTGGTCTCGAACCCGCAGGATCAGGCAATCCACTACCCTCGGCCTTCCTAAGTGCTAGGATTACAGACTGAGTCACCAAGCCCGGCCTACAATATGTTCTTTAAAGGTTTTTTTTGAGGAAGGGGCAGACAATTGCAATATTTGGACGGAAGGGAAAACATTATCGTAACAATCTTTTATTCCCAGAGCTCTGGCCTATAAGAGTCCGATGTTCTTGAGTCACAGATGGAGAGGAGGTAAGTAATGCCCACTTCAGGCTTTCAGACACATTTCTACCAGCCTTGGTCCACTCTCTTAATCATTAGGTGATCTGGCTTGCCCAACTGTTTCTTCTTCGGCACCAGCAATATGTTTACTTGATAATGATAATGGTTACTAGATAAGACTGGTTAGTCGGGCAGGGGCATGCTGGGAGAGGAGAAGAGGGGCAAATAGGAAAAAAGGCCACTTTTGAATCCAAGTGACTTTTACATTTAGCCCAACTCAGCTGCAAAAGAATGCAAGTTTTTAAGTATTTTCTAAATGAATGTTCTAATATAACAAAAGTGACCTCTTTTCACCCTATAACACTTATAATTAGTTACCAGGCCTGGCCTGTCTTATGCTGTTTGTGGATAGAAGTCCACTTGTTCCTTCTTTAGAAGTGCCTATTGATGATATCTATTGTCTGAAAGTAGCTTAGTGCAAGAACTTTATGACATGAAGTCAGGCAATCTGTTCTGCACTCTCCTAAGGACTTTCTCACTTATTTTCAAGTCATGAAATCAAATTTGGCAACTTTTCTATAAAGAACTTAAACAATTGGATTAAAAATATACATCTCCCTTGAGCTTATAGACTCATTCCTAGGCGTCCACTCTAAGGACATAATCAATGATACTTATAAAAATTTAACTACAGCAAAATTATAGTAAACATGGTTAATCGGGGTCACTTTATACCACACTGGTATTCATTAGGTTGATTTTTCTTAGACGTAGAGAAAACTTTATGCTTTGCACTACATTTAGCTGTGTGTGGATGTATTCCAGATGATCAACTTTGCCAAAGTTTGATTACTGATTATGATTTTATTATGTCACTCATTTTATCCAAGACTGCTAATTGTCCTCAGTGACAATTTCTCCTGTTGTCCCATAGGTAATAAGATTTCTCTCCCCAAAGTTTTAGAAGAGCTCTTGATCGCTCAACTAGAAACTAACCTTCCCCAGTCTCCCTTGAAATTAAGTATGTCTACGTGTCCAAATTCTTTGCAATGAAATGTGAGTAGATATGAAGTATCATTTCTTTAAAAGGAAATGTTTGCCTTCCACTTCCTCTTTCCTCCTTTCTGTGTTCTAAAATTCAGATGAAGTACAAGAACAACACTTTAGGAGATGGCAAAGCAACAAAGTAGGAGGCACTTGATCTCATATGACAAACAAATCTACCTGCCCAAGACTTGCTTTCTTCCTCTGTACTATTTTGTGTGAGGGAAATATACTTTTGTTTGAGAGAAGAAATTCTCTTTTGTTTGAACCATTGTATTTTTTTTTTTTTTTGGTGCTTATATTATAGTAGCTTATCCTGTATCTCAGTACACTTGTGAAGGAAGTCGTAGAAAGTGACCATAATTTTTTTTCTGGTGTGGAAAAATAAAGTTAAAATGAATTCATGATATACGTTGTGTACATTTTTCCTAGTTTGTATTTGGTTGCATTTTTGTTTCTGATGGTTTTATGTACATAAATTATTTATTTTAAGATCTGATTACACAAGTATCTTTAGAAATAAACAATTATATTTTATCTATTACATTTAGCATATATATTAGAATCCCAATGAGCATTCTGTTGCTAATCTAATTTGCTATTATTTGTTTGTTTGTTTATTTATTTATTTATTGAGTTGAAGTCTCATTCCGTTGCCCAGGCTGGAGTGAAGTGGCATGCTCATGGCCACCCCATTGTCAACCTGCTGGGCTCAGGCAATCCTTCCGCCTCAGCCTTCCAAGTAGCCGAAACTACAAGCCTGCACTACCGCATCTGGCTAGTTTTTTGATTTATAGTAGAGATAAGGTCTTACCAAGTTTCCCAGGCTGTTCTTGAACCCATGGGTTCAGGCAATTCCCTCACCTCGACTTCCCAAAGTGCTGGAATTATAGGCTTGAGCCTCTGCACCCGGCCTAATTTGCTATTATTTAAAGTATAAATCATGAAAAATTTTATTTATCATTAAATACATATAGCATATTTTTATTGTTTTATAGAATACAATTATATGAATAGGTAATAATTTATTTAAGTCAGTAATCTTTATTAGCATATTTTGTTTCCCCATTGTTTTACTCTTATATTTGTTTTACTACAATATACACATTTTAATCTTCAAGACAATATCATACTATATCACAATCATATAGTATTGTATCAAGTTTTGATCTCTAGTAGTAGAAGTCTTAGGGCTTTCTTCATCTTCAAGGTTGTCTTGGCTGTGTATTTAGCTCTTTGTATTTCATATAAATATTTGGAATCTGCTTATTAACAAAAAGTGACCTGCTCAGATTTTTATATGGAATACAGTGAATTTACAAATGCATTTGGGCATAATTGACATCTTTAAAATACTGTGTACTTAAATCTGTGATCATAGTATATCCCTACACTTATTTCATTCTTCTTTAATGTTTCTTTAAGGTATTTTATAATTTTTTAGGGTAGTGATCTCATAAGTAATTAGGTTTATTCCTAGATATTTGATTTTTAACCAACCTTATTGGGCTATAATTTACATACTAAGACACACACTTTTCAACTGCATAGTTCAATGACTTCAACAAATATATTTGCCAGTAGAGTCACTACCCCACTGAATATAAGGTACAGAATATTTCCCACACCCGAGAAAGTTTTATTATGCCCCTGTGCTGTAAGAAAAGCCTCAGATTTCAAGCCAAACCCTAATTTGATTCAACTTATATTAATATAGATTAGTTTTGCCTATTCTAAAACTTATACAGATGCAATCATGTAGAACATACTCTTTTGTCGCTGGTATCTTTCTCCAGGCATAATTTTTTTCACAATATTTTTTGAGATTCATTTTTGCTGTTGCTTGTACCAGGATTTTGTATACAGGTTTTCTACATGTTTTTGAAATTTATTTCTGAGTATTTCATGTTTTTAAATGTTACCATAAGTGATATATTTTTACATTTCCATGTTCAATTGCTCATTGCTAGCTTATAGAGATAAAACTTAGTTTTGTACATCTATCTTGTAACTGCAACCTTCTTAAATTCAATTCTTACTCCTATAGAAGGTTTAACTGTATATATTTTTGGATTTTCTAAATACATTATTATTTGATCTACAAATGAAGACACATTTGAAGCAGAAAAATGACTTTTTCCTCTTTTTTTAGTTCTGAAAAGTCCAACAAGGCCCTGCTTTACTACATACACATTCACTCACCTCGTGGAAGGGTATCATGTGTCTAAGGGGCCCTAACAAGGGAAGCCATCAGCTGTCTTGTCCTTTTCCAAGTTCTAAAAAAGCAGCTGCTTGAAGAGTCTATATTTGTATAATGACTAAGCAGAAAAGACAGGTGGTCGAGATGTTTTCTTCCCAACTTTAATTCTATTTTTCAAATAAAATAACCATTTTTTCCTTTGTAAAGTAATATTTTTTGTTTAATACAAAAGGGATAATACAGAAAGGTATTAAGAATAAGAAAAGTCCCCTTTCTCAAGCTCTTTTCCTGAGACACCTCATTCACTCATTTTAGTGGAGGGAAAATGGAAAGTATTGGTAGCAGAGAGCACTCCAGGAAGAAAGAGGTATATCCTGGAAGCAGAGATAAGTCGCCAGAGAAAGGGGAATGGTCAACATCCCCCTAGAAGATACCGCCCTTCCCGGGCAGGCAAGAAAAGGCCCAGGACTACACAAAGAATGGAGTGTGACAGGGCCCAGGCTGGGGATGTCAAAAGGGACTTAGGGTAAGGAGGCGGGCGGACAAGCCCAGTCAGACTCCTGGAGGCAGGAGGGGGCGGGACCGATGCAGAGCCGCTGGCGATGACGACAACGTCACGTGACCGTCCAAGGCGGACTCCCACGCCTCCGTCCAGTGTCAGAACCGCCATCCTTCGCTCCCTTGTCAGTCCCGGTACCTGCTCCGGGTGGTCCTGAGGGCCTGCGGCCAGGGGCGGCCCCGAAGGCAGGAGGCGGAGGGGAAGCAGGTAAGGGACCTGGGAGGGGTCTCTGGGCTTGGTAGGGGAAGCGGCCCGGCCTGCAGCCCCCCCCCGCA